TCCATTCCATTCCATTCCATCTAGCTATCTTCTAGCTATCTATATTTGCTGATATATAAACTTACATTTGTACATTATGATTGCACGACCTCTGTAGATGCCATACACTAAACAAAATTAAGAAATCCATTCCTACTAAAAGAATAGGCCCAAACCGCCTAAAGCAATTTAGCCTCGTCCACCCTAAACCCAAGCGCTGCCCCCACCTGCAGTGCCTCGGGTGCCACTGAATTGATGCCATATTCCTACCCGCCTGGTCTCCTGATTAACCGAGTGGGCCAAGAGGGACTTACAGACGATTGGATAGCCCGTGGGTGGGCACGCAGTCAGCCACGCAGATCTCTGCCCCCTGGAGCCTTTCTCCACAGCAGTCCTCTCGGTTTTTCACCACCACGGAAGAGACGGCATACCGGCTACCCAGGTCCACGTACCACCAGGGCCCCCTTTCTCGCTTCGTGTGGGTGCAAGTGTTCTGCCCAATCCAGCGTCCGCTGCAGTTCCCGTCCACGGCTTTTCTGGCTACTGAATTGAACTGGCTCACGTAGGTGGACGATTGGAAAGCTGGACGTCCTCTGGCCACGTTTGTAGCTGGAAAGAAGTTTGGGAGAAGAAAGGCGTGTCAGGGGCTTCGTTCCCGGGTGACCTTTCGGCTCTGGATTTGCACACAAATGTCCGGGAGGGAACCCAAAGTCCGTGGGACAACTTTCCACTCTCTTGAAGTCTTTCTGCCTGTTGGAGACCAGTTTGGAAGAGCACAGGGGAGGGAAAGGCTGGTGACCCTCTGGGCTTTTCTGCACCCCTGACCAGGAAGTGGCTGACCAGAATGCATGGACAGAGGCAGGCTGGAGAGCTTGTGAGAAGAAAAGAATTTGGGAGTTCTAACTTGGCCATTCTCCGTCTTTGCTTTATTTGCAAGACAGCGAAAGGGTGGAAAGGAAAATGCCTGATCTCCATCCTCCTTGTGAAGAAGGAATATGGTGCACTCGGGGTCGGTCTTGATATCAAGGAAGGTGATTTCCAGGGTGGAAATAAGACTCTGAAGATGGCTTTGCTAAAAGTGGATCTCATGAGTGTGGCAGAAAGAAGAGCTACCAAGAAGATGGGATCTTTGTAATTCCTTTCTGGAGAACGAGAGGACTTGAGATCACCCTCTAGTCTGGTGTTTTGGGCAGTTGTTCCTCATGAGGCGATCACGAGACAATGGCCTCTGAGCGCTTTGGACCTCTGGAAGACAAGGGAAGGCCCTCTCTGCTCAAATCATTGTTGACGCTCTTATGGACCCAGGAGGTGCATATTTTCTTTTCTAATCGCTTTTGGAAGTTGCTTGTTAATTGCTTTTCAGGTATTAAGGCTCTTCGGATCAGCCATCGGGTGATTTACCTTAGCAAAAGGAGCTTGAATATAGGTTTAAGAACTTTAATTTTTTTTTCTTTTGAAATAAACAGAAAAGGGTGATTAGTTTAATTTTGGAAATTACAATGGACTAAGGCTCCAGATAAAAACAAGATTTTAAAATTAATTATAAGAATCCTTCCTGTGGAAAAATGTTTTTGTGTTGAATTCTTTAAAAAAAAATATGATAAGAGCAACTTTAAAGGTTGGGCACTAGAGGGAACTAGAAGAAACTAAAAAATAACAATTAAAAGGAGAAGAACACTTAAATTCAACTTACTACTGGTAGTACAGGATGAATGAAATATAACAACAGACATGTTGAAGTATATTTTTGAACAATGGATCCAGAAAGTTAATTTTAAGAGTGTCCGCCATTATAGTGTTTGAATGAAAATGAACAAATAATACTGGGCAAGACTATTGACTGAATTGAAAGTGGATTTCAAAATGACAGGCTAACAAGAATGGTACACAAAAGGATGCTACATTGAGTGTACAGATTAAATCAGACGATGTTCTAATCATTAAAAGGGATATACAACTGAAAAAACCCCAAAAAGTGAGATGGATAATTTTCCTATATTGGATTTATTAAAAAAAAAAGATTTTTAAAAACCTGAATAATTTTTTGAGTGGAGACAGAGAAAAAAAATTGAAAATAAATCAAGTTCTAGGACATGATTTGAAGGGATTAAAGAGAGAAAGGAATATAAACTTACTTTACATGATCAAAGTTAAAATAGAGATGTAATAGGTTTTGGCTGACCAGGACTGAGGATCAAAACTTCAAGGAGGCTACAGGGAGATCATAATATGTCATATTTAAGAGAAAGATAAGTTTCTAAAATTGGTTACAGATGTGATGAAGGGGGAAAGTCATTAAATATATTTCTTTTTTCTTTACAATACATACAACCTAGAGGTAAGGAACAATTAAAGAATGGAATAGCTTCCCTACCGGAGTTATGGCTGTTTCATCACTGGAGGTTTTCACACAATCATTTGACCGAGATAGTATAAGGTCTCCTGCCTTGAGCAGGGGGTTGGACTAGAAGACCTCTGAGGTCCTTTCCAGCTCTGTGATGCTATGTTGAATTGAATAACCTATTGCCATTTCCCTCTATGCACAATGGCACAGATTAACATGCGATGCCGATGCTCCACTCTTGAAAGACAAGAAAGACCATGCGCCAAACAATATTACCAATCCAAGGATGATGGTAACAGTAATAACAGCAGCATCCCCAAATGCCAAATAATTACCAACATTCTAGGTTTCCTGTCTGCACTTTCTAGTTGATTTATTCCTTTTTTTTTAAGTTTGCATTAACTGTTTAATCTCTTTAATGTGTAAGGTTTGATAAAAGTACTTAAAAAAAGATCCACCAAGGAAGGCCAGGGGGAGCTTTTACAAAGGTAAAAGAAATACAGGTTTATTGATGCATCGAGTTCAAAGTGCTAACACACCAAGATCCGAACTGCCTGGGCTCTGCCCAGGATGCTACTTTTATGCCGTGATCCACACTGAGCATTCTCAAGGCGTTTCCATACAAGAGACAAACATGACATTTCGAAAAGGAGAAGTTCATTTTGGAATGTTACAAAAAGAGAAGAAGTACATAGGAAAAATACAAAAAGAGAAATTCCTATAATGTCTTAAGCTATCGGCCGTTTCACCTCTGTTCTATCCTACACCCACGCCTGGCTTCCTGTGCCCCTCCTTTACAGCGTCTTGTCACACTGTTCCAGTAATATGCGTTAACACAAACTGAGTAAATAAAACCAAACTTAATAAAAGTATAGATTAAGCATGTATGAATGCTCAGAAGCTAGTGAGAATTTAGACCCTGGGGGTTCCTATACCCAGGTGATATTTTGGTTCATCTTCTCCCACCTGCCTCACTCTGACTGCCTGTCTCCTATAACTCAGCTGTCCCCAACAATAAGAAACCTACTTAAAAACAGAGGTACCCGTCTCTCTCTAAGATGAATCCTCTTCCCCCAGGTTTTCTGAAGTCTCCTCTCGCCTTTCCCAAGGGAATGCAGCCAGTCTGGTGGGATTCTTGTAGCTGTGACGACTGGCAATTAAACTTCTGTCTGCAGCTCCGGACAAGAGGTTCCGGTTGCTTCCACCTGAGACTGAGCTACTACTTGACGGAAGAGCCGGGTCTTCTCCGCCCTCCAGAAGACTAACAGGCTTTAGAGCTGAGGGAGGCTGACGGGTCATGTAGTTCAGGGGTCTCAAACCTTGGTGACTTGAAGAATTGTGAGCTTCAACTCCCAGAATTCCCCAGCCAGTTGAAGTCCACAAGTCTTCAAGGTTGGACACGCTTGACCTATTTGACTTTCCTGCCTGTGGCAGGATACAAATTCATGGCCTTCTACTTAAGGCTTGGCTACAACACTGGGTCACACTACAGTCTGCCTATAAATGATCTCAGCCAACACACAACACTCTTCAACTCCCACCCAGATGAAAAGCATTTTACAAATGGATCCATCAAAGGGGGGACCTCCTGATCAAGGTAGCGAAGGCAGGGGGTTCTGGTCTTAGGCATTCACTCCATAGTTTCACTCACCTGGAGTCTCTCCCCTGGCCAACCAAATGTGGGTGAATTTCACAGCTGCTCCTCTTCCAACTGTGATGTCTCCCAAATATGGTCCTCCTCCTGTTTTGGGCAGTTTTAACTTCTTTCCTAATGGGGTGGATCTTCCTTCAGAGAACCCAGCCAGCCAATGGGAAGGTGCAGAGCCTCTCCTGGAGACCAATCAAGACCAGGCTACAAATCTCCCATTGGTTGCTTCCTCCTTGATTCTGACAGTGGGGGAGAGGGGACGTTACATAACCCACATCCTACAGGATCTCACCTCTTTGCCCGTTGACTCTCTTCAGAGGAACATATAAGTCTTCCTTGTTAGAGGCCAACTCCTTTTCCATATTGGGACATCACCATTCTCTGTGAGCAAAGAGCAATGTGAAGCAAACGCTCAAGCAGGCTCACATCTCCAAAGTCAACATGAGTGGGCAGCTACATTTGCTGCAGGTGACCAGAATAGTGGATTTGGGGAGAGAATGAGGCCCTACAGAATATCCAAAGATGTTGAGATTCTAGAAAGAATGCAGAGAAGAGCAACAAAAGGTCATTAGGTGACTAAAAACTAAAACATGAAGTTTTGCAGCAACTGGGTATGTCTAGTTTAATGAAAAGAAGGACCTTGGGATGGACATGAGAGTAGTATTCAAATATTTGAAGAGAGAGTCAAGTTATTCTCCAAAACATCTGAGGGCCGGACATGAAGCAATGGGTGGAAACTGTCAGAAAAATATACTTCAGATATTTTCTATATATTAAAAAAATGGTCAAGGAGACTATGATCAAGAAAAAGCATCTACTGGTATTTATTTACACTTGAGCAAGTGGATTCTTGGAAAAGAGAGAATCATTGACAGGGCAACAGGCAAGGCTTAAATACACAATTCGTGGGCATCATCAAGGTGTTTCATAATACAGTTACATAATTCTACTTGGCTACCATTACAATAGTTTGGCCACTGTTACAATAAGTAAGGTTTTTAAAGAAGAGACTGGAACAGCCTCTTGGATGGGATGGCATGGGGTCTCCTGCTTGAGCAGTGGATGGGACTAGAAGACCTCCAAGCTCCCTTCCAACTCTGTTATTCCTCTTTCTCTTTCTTAAGAGGTCATGAATCTTTGAGGGCCGCTTCGCCTGGAGTCTTCTGCTTTGAGGAGTTCAGATGAAGTTTCCCTGTCAAATGACTATTTGGCCTTACAAAGCAGAGGAAGCCAGAATGTCTGCTGGAATTAAGTAGCGTGAGATTAAGAACCGATGAATTGAAGAACGTTCTGTGCAGAGGAGGCTTGTGAAATTTCCCTCCATTAGATCAGTGTTTCTCAACCTTGGCAACTTGAAGATGTCTGGACTTCAACTCCCAGAATTCCCCAGCCAGCATTCGCTGGCTGGGGAATTCTGGGAGTTTAAGTCCGGGCATCTTCAAGTTGCCAAGGTTGAGAAACACTGATCTAATGGATCTTCTAAAGAACCCAACTCGCGAGTGGGATCAGGGTTGGTTGATGTGTAGAATAAAATAACGGCGACTTGTTGGACAGGGTCACAAGGATATTCCGAGTGAAACTTCAATCCTTTTGAGGGAGCATCCCAGGAAGACCCAAACATCTTAATTTGCCAGATGTTGATGTTTGTGATGCAAAGGTGGTTAACCTCTTTCAACTCTGCAGAATAACAGAG